TAGATAGATCGGTAGGTAGGTAGGTTGATAGTCAGAGAAAGAGAGAGAAAGAGTGAGAAAGAGAGGAGACCTCAACCACCTTTCGGTCCATCAGTGGATTCGCTCTGCCATCCGTGATTCACAACAACCAACCTCTCCTATAGGTTTCCTGTTTTTGAAACTTCCACCACCGCCTTGTGCGGTACTACTGGTATGTAGATATTTTATGTAGATGTGTTTGCACACCCTTCTGCTGGAAGAACTCTGCGCTCAGACGCTCTCGAGAAAAACAATTGCAACCACTCGCCCCAGCTGCACCCACCCAACCACTCACTCCCACCTGTGTGGGTGGTGGTGTCGTGCCCACCGTCATGATCTTCAACTCTTTTTGGTTGCCAATGGCTGCGCGGTAGAAGAGCGCCAGCACGGAGGCCAAGATCATGATCCCAACCTCGGAATTCGCTGGCGAGCGACCTGTGACCTGCCCATGACCTGCCAGCCCTGAAAAAGGCCATGAAACATGTCTAAAAAATATTAAACATGTAGCATCGAGCTGTTCTTCTGATTTCATGTTTCACCCAAACTTCTGAACATTTGGCTCAAAGAAAAATTGGGAGCCCAAACCTTTGAAGGCCATCAAAAAGTTAGGACCTAGGAATTCATGATCAACGGCTCCCAGCGGGCTCCCGGTGGATTTCTGTGACACTCCACCCCTTCGTCAGCTTCCGTGATGGAACCACCATCACGGGGCAGGACTCACCAAACATGAAGACAGCTACGCTAGAAGAAGGGCAACAGCCGCATGAGTCCATGAAAAGAAAGACCATAAATACATATCAATATACTCTGTATAGTATTAAATCATCAGCGCAGAATCGGGAATTTGGAGTTTGCATCCACTTGCAAGCAGATTAGGAATCTGAGATGAAGTGGTTGCTTCAAAGGCTATTGATCGAATCCATGATGTGTATGAGTGCTTCTTTGTCTGATTGTCAGAGATTCCAATACCCCAACATACTCAAAGGTTGTGTGGCAGTGGCAACAGGTATCAACAAGACTGCTCGACCACTGCGGCATCTGCAAATAAGCAACCACACCAAATAAAAGGGCAAACACCACCATGCTGAAGATCTCGAAGAACGTCAGCAAGCCACCTGAGGCAACTGGGACATAGAAGCCTGCTACAACTACCAGGATGGCAAGTAAGAAGCAAATCACCATGTCCACCACGTTCAGAATGGGTGCTTTCCAAGGCCAATTGTAGATTTGCACAGCCATGAACGTCATCAGAATGATCTGGCAACCCAAACATTGCACGGCAGGATCGTCCGGAGCCAATACCACGGTCAGTGCCAGCAATGGTCCTGCGAAGTGTAGGGCGAATCATGTGATACACCGTCTGGGGTGTGTCTCGGGACATATGCTTGCCTATGCCTGCACGCTTGCCATCAATGATGGATAGACAAGCTGCAGAAAATGGTCATGCCTATGTAGCAATGCACATTTCAGCCTTTCGGAAGAATGTACAGCTTTCCACGGTGGCTCATGACATGCTTCGCCGCTGCTGTTGGGGCTCCCTTGCCGCAGGATGCCGCAGGAAAACAACCCAGCCCCTGTGGTGTGGCAACTTGATTATATGTGAGCTAACGACTAAGGACAAACCATTACTTGTATTGTCTAATGAACGTGGTTCCCTCCTTAGTGTTGCAATGTGTTGCATACCCTCGTACAATCAAACTGGACAAGGGTGCCTTGGAAGACGAGTTTTCTGTTGCGATGGTGGATTTTCCACCTTGTTTCTTCGTAGAAATGTAATATAAACCACTACAATCCCTCTTGACCACTGTCCATCCCTAACGTTGATACACCCACCTTGCCAATCCCAACAGCCAATAGAATCAATAACTGCTCCTCGCAAGAGCAATGGCACTCCATACCACCAGACATCGAGTCTAAAACGCCCCAACAGAAATCTGCCACCTGCACGACACGCAGACCCGTGAATGCATCACGAACTGAATGTCATGGTGTCATGGAGGCCACACGTTGCCAAGACCAAAATCAGGACCCCTCGGAGCCCTCGATGAAATCTTGGCCAAAACTGGACATGAACTTCCCAGGGGGTATTAGATGTATTCGCTCTTTGCCCACGGGGGGATGAGGCCTTGCTGCCACAACGAAAGTAACGAAAGGTTCTAGGATATTCTAGGGCTCTAGGGAACCAGGTGGTTGCTTGTTTTGAAGTTGGTTAAAACTGGAATCTGCCTTCAACCGCTTCAACCGCTTCAACCTTGCAACAGATTTTGGCCCTCTTGGTTCACCTTCTAGGATTCGCTTCTGGAGTAGCTGTTCAATGAGTTCAATGCTTCCAAACTTCTTCTGCGTAATCTTCTTTCTCCCTACTCATGGCCATCCAACGAACGACCACAAGAAAAAAATATGAAATTTTATAATGTCAAAGTTGGGGCCGGAGGTGTGGGACAAAAACTGCAGCAGTAAAACGATTGGTGACCCAAACAATCCTTCACATCCCTTTGGGGCAGAAAAACTAGGACTACCCTCAGACCTGACGTATACGGTTGTACCAGCATACGATCAAAATGACACTTACCTGAAGGGGTCAACCTGGCTAGACGAAGCTATCCAAGCCCAACTCCGCCCAGTGCCATGTGGCAGAAGCTTGCAGTGTCAATGATGTACGAGGAAAACATGGATAAACCGTCACGGAATTCCCAGGTGGTGGGAGGGGTGGGTCAACACCTGAAAAATCAGGTAGATGGGCACATGCACCCCACCACACCTGCAGCTTTCATGACTGATGATGGACAGAACCCTATCCCCAGTTATATATCACCAATGCCAATGATCACCAATGATCACCAACGATCACCTTTTCTCAAGCAGCCCACTAATCCATCGACCAAGCACTCTGCACCAGATCGTATCTCCCACTGGCGCTGAACTTGGGGCACATGTACGCCAGCCAGGCCGCAAAGGCCCAGAAACCACAAACACCTCAGCTGGCTGCTGGATGCTGCTGGCTGCTGACAGTGGTGGCAGCTGGCGGATGCTATGGCTCGGATGAGCCAGGATGAAGTGGTGGCTGCTTCACAACGGTATCTATTTCTTGGGAATCGCCTTAATGCACCTTGGTGAATGATGCAAATCTGGCCAATACACGGGCGTTGCTTGCAAGTTCGAGATCCATACTGGCAAGATGGATGCGATTGGATGCTTGTCATCCGATCCGGCGGGAGTTGGATACTACCCAAACATCCCAAACCCCAACAAAATCATGAATTATTCATGAACTATAGTGTCATAGAGTCATACCGACTGCTGCAGGATTTTGTCCATCAACCGCATCATGAGAAATATCTTCGGGCATCCATTGTTGAGGGGATCGACCGTTAGGTGAATAATCTCGTCCTTGCTGGATTGTCAGCTATGGCTATCACTGGTTGCTGACTTCCTGTATGCTATAGGGACTGTTTGAGCGATCTTTGTAAGACATATTAAGAACATATTAAGAAATATGAAGGCAGGAGAAGAAGAAAAAGAAGAAGAAGAAGAAGAAGAAAACACATCACGCTTCATGGGCTTCTCAATCCATGCCTGCATCTCACTCAATAAGTTGCCGCCCGAGTACCCAGAACAAGCATCAAAGAACCAGCGATGACCATAGCGGTGTGCTCATCGCTGCCGCAGAAGACGTTGGGATACTTGAGGTTACCTAGGCAAAATGTACCTCTCATGAAAAAGCCCACGCGAGTCTATGATGGACAAGGGTCGCAGGGTTCACACTGGTCAACACCCAAATAGACTCCCTCATCACCCTCATCACATCCAATATCTAAGTGGCCATGAAATTCCGTCCCCCCCTAGGCCGCCCAAGCTGACTTCCCGGCCATCGGATTCCAACTTTTGGGGGGCTCGAACACTTCCAGGTGATGGGGAGTAAATGCGAGTGATGTGAGGATGCGTAAGCATGCATGAGTCCTACATCGATCGAAGATGATCGAAGCAAGTTCAAACCTATTTTCCAAGCATCTGTGCACACTGCGCAATATGTCTTAGAAAGTTGTTGAAGGTGCGACCAGCTGTCTTTGATCACTGTCAACATGTTCTCCTGATCTCCGGCCCACATGTCGACATGCCAACCGTTGCAACCAAGCGGCTTCGTTGTCCGTTGGGGTGCTTGTAGCAAATCATTGGAACCAAAGCGGTGCTGCTCATCGTCGAAAAAGCCACCTGAAAGAGATGGACCAGAGACCATCGGGTAAGGTCGACCGTTGCCATGGGGCTTGGCCCCCAGTTTCTGTTGGTTGAACAAATCCAAAGCATCCAAAACCATCACCAAGGCTCGTGCATGAGGAATCCCCAATGGGTTTTGTCTTAAATCAAATTACTAGGGGAAATGATGATCAGCTGACTTAGAAAAAACGCACACGCGCTGTATAAACTGTTTTTTTTGAGTCAGTCTTAAAAAATTATAGGACCGGATAACCCCACATGTTACCAACTTCTTTAGACTTAGACTGAGCATAGAAAAGCAAGAAGGGAAGAGGGAGTATAAGAGTGATGGAGGGGTGATGGTGGGTGAGTTTGCGTGTGTGTGTGTATGTATGTGCATGCACAGGTGGGTGAGTGAGTGAGTGAGTGGGTGAGTGAGTGAGTGAGTGCCACACAAAAGAGCATTGTCCCACGCCTGCCACGCTAAAGAGGCGGAGCCCAAGGGACGCCAGGGCGTATATCCGACCCCGTACATCCGACCCCTTGGCAAGGCACATTGTCCCACGCCTGCCACTCAAAAGAGGCGGGGATTCAAGGGACGCCAAGGCGTACATCCGACCCCTTGGCAATGCACATTGTCCCACGCCTGCCACGCAAAAGAGGCGGAGACCCAAGGGACGCCAGGGCGTACATCCGACCCCTTGGCAATGCACATTGTCCCACGCCTGCCACGCAAAAGAGGCGGAGACCCAAGGGACGCCAGGGCGTACATCCGACCCCTTGGCAATGCACATTGTCCCACGCCTGCCACGCAAAAGAGGCGGAGACCCAAGGGACGCCAGGGCGTACATCCGACCCCTTGGCAATGCACATTGTCCCAACCTGCCACGCAAAAGAGGCGGAGACCCAAGGGACGCCAGGGCGTACATCCGACCCCTTGGCAAGTGCACATTGTCCCACGCCTGCCACGCAAAAGAGGCGGAGACCCAAGGGACGCCAGGGCGTACATCCGACCCCTTGGCAGTGCACATTGTCCCACGCCTGCCACGCAAAAGAGGCGGAGACCCAGGGGACGCCAGGGCGTACATCCGACCCCTTGGCAATGCACATTGTCCCACGCCTGCCACGCAAAAGAGGCGGAGACCCAAGGGACGCCAGGGCGTACATCCGACCCCTTGGCAATGCACATTGTCCCACGCCTGCCACGCAAAAGAGGCGGAGACCCAAGGGACGCCAGGGCGTACATCCGACCCCTTGGCAATGCACATTGTCCCACGCCTGCCACGCAAAAGAGGCGGAGACCCAAGGACGCCAGGGCGCATCCGACCCCTTGGCAATGCACATTGTCCCACGCCTGCCACGCAAAAGAGGCGGAGACCCAAGGGACGCCAGGGCGTACATCCGACCCCTTGGCAATGCACATTGTCCCACGCCTGCCACGCAAAAGAGGCGGAGACCCAAGGGACGCCAGGGCGTACATCCGACCCCTTGGCAATGCACATTGTCCCAAGTCTGCCACGCAAAAGAGGCGGAGACCCAAGGGACGCCAGGGCCATGCATCCGACCCCTTGGCAATGCACATTGTCCCACGCCTGCCACGCAAAAGAGGCGGAGACCCAAGGGACGCCAGGGCGTAGACCCAAGGGACGCAAGGGCGTACATCCGACCCCTTGGCCATGCACAGTGCCCCACGCAACGCAAAAGAAGCGGAGACCCAAGGGACGCCAGGGCGTACATCCGACCCCTTGGCAAGGCACATTGTCCCACGCCTACCAGGCAAAAGAGGCGGAGACCCAAGGGACGCCAGGGCGTACATCCGACCCCTTGGCAATGCACATTGTCCCACGCCTGCCACGCAAAAGAGGCGGAGACCCAAGGGACGCCAGGGCGTACATCCGACCCCTTGGCAATGCACATTGTCCCACGCCTGCCACGCAAAAGCGACGGAGACCAACCCCAGGGCGTGCATCCGACCCCCTGGCAGTGTGAGGGTGAGTGTGAGGGTGAGTGTGTGTATGTGTGTGTGTGTGCGAGTGAGTGAGTGAGTGAGTTAGATGAGATGAGATGAGATGAGATGAGATGAGATGAGATGAGTGAGTGAGTGAGATGAGTGAGTGAGTGATGAGGGAGGAGGGCGGGAGGAAGGAGCGGATACAGAACTAAAAACAAAAACCCGACACTTCAATGTGGGGAATTGAGGCTTTTCCCAAAGCACAGTTTGCATACAGTAAATTATGATCAAACAGTTGATTTTTGGCTCCCAATTGTGAGACACCCCAGCATCGCATGGGCAATCTTGGGTAGGTGATCATACCGTACATGCTTCAAGTCTGCTTGTAAAGGATTTGATCAGCGCCTATAACACCACCATGTGCAATGTTGTAAAGAGAATCGCTTGCGGAAGCGTGAGGTCAACGTACTTCAGCGGGCCCATGTGCTTTGAGGAATCCAAATAGGTAAAATTCTGGCCAACTAAAACGAAAATTCCAACATCCGAAGTCCAAACCAATCATTTGGATCTTTCCAAAACGAAGGTCTTTTTGATCCCGAATCCAAATTTCTGATTTTGGGGCGCATGGGTGTGTGCACGGGAACTGGTGGGTGCACAGTGGACACACACCTCTTAAAAATCTGTCGGCACAGACGTAGATGGCCTTGTATGGGCGCAAACAGGTACATGGCCAGGTGCAGGAGTGTACTGCGCGTACCAGCGTTTTGTAGATGTAAATAGTCCATCATAGTCCTATATAGTATACGCTCAACTACTTCACAGGTGCCTTAGATGTTACCTTTCAGACCCTAAAACCAAGACCTTTTTAGGAGTTACTTGAAGGTTTCACGTGATCTTCTTATTTTATTATAGACCTTCTGGCATTTTTGGAGGGCGAGGTCCACTCTGAAATGCTCAGATAAACAAAGAATAATGTTGCAATATCACGGGGTCTTGAATGGGGTAATGTTATGTATCATGTGCAGGGTCTACTTTGCCACCTGTCAAACCTTTCAGTCAAAAGAAGCAGCAAGGAACCAATGTTTAGACATTTTAGATCATTTTAGGCTTCCCTGTCAGGAACCAATTTTTAGAGACATTTTAGGCCTCCCTGTCGGGAATCAATTTAGGCGGTTTAGGCTTCCATTTCGGGAACCAATTTTAGATATTTAGGCTCCCATTTCGGGAACCTAATTTTTAGAAATTTGAGGGTTCGATTGAGGGAACTAGTTTCCACAGAAGTTATGAATTGCAGTTTGTGCCATCTATCTCCTGTATTCTGGATTTAAGGCACGCGCATAGGTGGTGCAAGTCAGGAAATTGTTCCATCTATTTTCACCCCAGAGTACAGGGGTCTAATTTGATTTTCTTGTGGCATGGCTGGGACAAATCCCCTGAATTCTCAAGGCAATATCATATCAGACTCTCCTAGTTGTATGTTTTTAACTTGCGCTGAATGTCTAAATCTGATGACACACGAGGGTCTCTGAAAACCCCGAAGGGAGGTAGATGCCTAAACAAATATGATGAAACAAGTCATTCCTAGCTAGTTACTTAAGAAAAACATCCCTACAACATGTCCAATAGGACAATTAAAAAACAGCAATGGCGTGCATTAAAGTTTCCAGGCGCTGAAGGCATCAAGAAGCGCGTGTTCAAATTCAAAATTGGTTCCAAAAGTTAGGCTTTGCGACTTGCAGCTAAGTGAAAAATGAAGGCGATGCTAAAGGGATTGGGGGCTCCTTAAAAATCGTGAACTGTGATGAGCTGGATGTATCTGATGCTGATGCTGATTAAACAGCTAGGGTCCCTAGGGTCTATTCAAAATTCCGGGCCCTCATGGACCCTAGAGATCCCTGGAGTAACATGTGCAACATCAATCCAACACATAAACTGTTTTAACATGGACAACACTAGGGTCTGGAATGCCAATCGGCAGGGTCTACCTTAAGTATGCAAGTAAAAAAGACTCTGGCTACATCATGCCCGGAGGCCCCCCCCCCATTCAAGACCTTAAGTACTTGAGGGTATTATATTATAGTCCTATATTATAGTATATTATAGTCCTATATAGGTGGTCACAGCATATGTTGGAGCGTATAAGAAAGGTGAATAAAGATACAGCTGCAGCCATACATTCATCAAATCATTACATTACCCAACAACCAACCCATGGGATTGCAAATTCACGAATGGCCATGGTTGCATCCGAGCGAAACACAATGATTCACATGAGCTCCTGGCAGAATCATTTCGTAATCATCGCCATCGATTGGCTAAAAAATGACCTATACCCCATTCTCATGATCCTTGTTGTACAGTATGATGTTCGTTGGCCAAGCAATCATCATGGCGATTTCGTGTCATTGATCCAACCATGGATAGAGCTTGTGAAAACTGACCCTCAAGGACAGACCATCACAGACCTTCTGAAACCCAAGCATCTTTGGGCGTTCTGGTGTGACTTGAGAGGCTTGAGAGGCGTCCCAAAATGATACATCTAAAAGCATCACGCAGCATTCAACAGGTAAAAACATCTTAAAACATGTCAACACATTGAAAACGCCTGACAGCTGGCCTGCAAGAACTGACCCATGGTGCTACGAAGCTTGATCGTGTCCCAGGCCCACTTGGGATTCACTTTGGAAATGAGGCCACAGAATTGTAGCCAAAGAAGACAAGCTGGGAAGAAAAGAACCTTGGGTGGAATCCAGCCGTCCGAACAGCAGTTCTTGAAATTCTGAATGTGTTGGATGCCGCTCCCTTCTTGCTGGTTCTTCTTGGCAGAGGTGCTTCGACATGACTTTACTTGGGCATGCTTCGATTGCAACTTCTTGGCCACTGGTTGGTGCTGTTAGATATTGTTTGGCTGCCGTTTGCTGTTGGATCTGGATGTCCAATGATGTCCATAGATTTCCTTGTCCCACTTGTTGGTTGATGAGTTAACCCTGCTTCGTGACCAATCACATGATAATAGACTACCAAACCAACCCCTGATTCCCCAAACAGTGCGTCCACACTGCGGGGGTTCGACGGTAGGAGTTAAGGCCGGGTGGTTAGATCAAGGTATGCTCTCTGGGGGCTCTTGTGGGATGTCCATGTGCACTTCGGCTGCCCGAAAACATATCAGCGTCATTGCATCGCATCTTACCGAGCATTGTTCGGGTCCAGTAAAATGCGGTGCAATGCTTCAAGCACAGGAGGAATGCACCGTACTTACATCCTCCAGATAGCTCAAACCTACCAATCCTTCCAATACAGGGGTGATTGCCTTGGCTTCAAGTTGGTCCTATTGCCTTCCGCGATTTCTACCTGATCGAATTTTGGCCAAGTACCCTTTCGCCACATACTTCGTCATCTAGACGCAGATGTGCGAGCTTCATGCTGAGACTTTTGCTGGCGGCACTCTGGGACGCACAGACCTTCTGTCTTGGTCTTGGACAGCTTCTGGAGATAACTATTGCACACAACAAAAGCTGCGGTTGCGCGTTCGGATTCCGATTTTTTTGTAGAGCAGTTGTCATGCACGATTGGAACACACACACACACATATATCTATATATATATGTTGCGCTTCTCCGCTGTGTGACTTGCATGTCTACTGTTTCCTTACCACATTACCACTGGGTCCCTTCCCCACACTGTTTGGGGTCCCTTGCCGGTGTATTTTTTTACACAAAGGACATCGTTGAAATGTTCTTGCATGCTCTTGGGTGATGTCGGATGCTGGAGGCCCCAATGCATGTTGGCTCTTGCTTTTCTTGCTTTTCCTTTCAAATCTTTGCTTTGCCAGGTGCACCCAGAGATTTTGAAGGCACTAGTCCACCCTTCAGGAAAATCTTCCGGCATTGAATCTACAGCTTCCAACAGGCAGCATGGCATAAGCTGCTGGATGCGATCATCGCGAAGACAAAGTTTTGTGAGATACGAATTGTCACAAAGTGGGCGACCAAAAATTAGCACCAAGAGACAAGTCCAATGTAGCGCGCCACAGGGTTATCGCCAGCAAGGCACGAAAAGGCAAAGCCATCAATGTCGAAGGTAAAAACCTCCCAAAGAGACGTGATGAACTGCGAAACCCAAAAAACCCCAAACCCGAAACCCAAAACCGACTCTGAAGACTTAACTTCCCCAGGACCGATCTTATCTAATCTAGATCTAACCTAATCTAATCTAATCTTATCTAATCTGTCTATCTAATCTGTCTATCTAATCTGTCTAATCTAATCTGATCTAATCTATCTAATCTAATCTATCTAATCTAATCTAACCTAATCTATTCTATCTAATCTAATCTAGTCTATCTAATCTAATCCAATCTACCTAATCTAATCTAATCTAATCTCATCTACTCTAATCTCATCTACCTAATCTAATCTAATCTAATCTATCTATCTAACTATTCTAATTCTAATCTAAGTTAAATCTAATTCTAATCTAATTTAATCATATTTAATCTACCTAATCTAATCGAATCTAATCAAATCTAATTCAAGTCTAATCTCATCTATATAGCCTAACCTAATCTCATCTACCTAACCTGCTCTAATTCTAATCTAGTTTAATCAATCTAATCTAATCTAATCTACCTAATCTAATCTAATCTAATCTGATCTAATCTACCTAATCTAATCTAATCTAATCTACCTAATCTAATCCACATCTAATCTACCTAATCTAATCTATTTCTAATCTAATCTATCTCATCTATCTAATCTAATCTAATCTACCTAATTTCATCTAATCTACCTAATCTAATCTAATTCTAATCTAATCTGATCTACCTCATCTAATCTATTTCTAATCTGATCTATCTAATCTAATCTAATGTAATTTAATCTATCTAATCTAATCTAATTCTAATCTAGTTTAACCTATCTAATCTTATCTACTCTACCTAACCGAATCTAATTCTAATCTAATCTAACCTAATCTACCTAATCTAATCTAATCTACCTAATCTAACCTAATCTATCTATCTAAGTAATCTAATTCTAATCTAATCTTATCTACCTAATCAAATCAGATTCTAATCTAACCAAAACTAGTCTAATCTAATCTATCTAATCTAATCTAATCTACCTATTCTATTGTAACTCTTATTCCAATCGAATCTAATCTAATCTAACCTAATCTAATATTTCCAATTTAATCTAATCTAATCTAATGATATCATATCATATCATATCAAATCATATCATATCATATCTATCCAACTAATCTAATCTAATCTAACCTGATCTAATCTATCTAATCTAATCTAATCCAATCTACCTAATCTAATCTAACCAAATATAATTCTAATCTCATCTCATCTATATAGTCTAACCTAATCTAATCTGCGTAACCTACTCTAATTCAAATCTAGTTCAATCTATCTAATCTAATCTGATCTAATCTACCTAATCTAATCTGCTCTACTCTACCTAATCTAATCTAACCTAATCTAATCTACCTAATCTAATCTGCTCTACTCTACCTAATCCAATCTAATCTAATCTAATCTACCTAATCTAATCCAATTCTAATCTAATCTAATCTATTCTAATCTAGTTTAATCTATCTAATTAATCTAATCTACCTACAATAATCTAATCTACCCTAATCGATCTAATCTAATCTAATCTAATCCACTCAGTGACAGCTACTTACGGATGCTGGCAGGTTTCCCCCAAACCGTTGCCGTTTTTCCTCTTTGACCTTTTCAGGCGCTTGTCACTCACCGCTCTTGTTTTTGACGACTGCATGGAGAACGACACTTGGGTGATGTGAGATCGGCACCGTACTGGTGAATCTAAAGGTGGTTTCGACCTACGAAACCCGAAACCCGAAACGGACAGCTAAAGTTATATAGCTTCAATCGACCAAACCCGAAACCCGAATCCCGAAACCCGAAACCGACAGCGAAAGTTGGTTTCAGGCGACGAAACCCGAAACCCGAAACCGACAGCGAAAGTTGGTTTCAAGCGACGAAGCCCGAAACCCGAAACCCGAAACCGACAGCAAAAGTGCAGCGCTGTGGGTTTCAATCGACGAAACCCGAAACCCGAAACCCGAAACCGACAGCGAAAGTTGGTTTCAAGCGACGAAACCCGAATCCCGAAACCGACAGCGAAAGTGGGTTTCAATCGACGAAACCCGAATCCCGAAACCGACAGCGAAAGTGGGTTTCAATCGTCGAAGCCCGAAACCCGAAACCGACATCGAAAGTTGGTTTCAACCGACGAAACCCGAAACCCGAAACCCGAAACCCGAAACCGACTCGAATGCGACTTTTGGGTGGCTCTCCGGATCGGAA